ACGTAAAGAAAGCAGGGACTGGCTGCTAGAGAGGGAGCCAAAACTGAAGCAGTCATGAAAATAAGAAAAACTAACTAAGCAGGCAGCTTAGAGGTCTTTAAAAGGCACCAAGCACCAGGATTTAAATGTATCTCAGGAGAATTTCTTGAAGCTGCAACAGTAAGACTAGAGATAAATAAAATTTGCCCAGCTGGCTGTGATACACCCACACATATTAGATTGGATATGAATTCTAAATCTGGCTCTGCACAAATAGCCAAAAAGAGCTGAGATGGAAGTTGCTGAGGCTCCAGCTGTGATGAAAGGGCAGCGACTCTGCTCTTTAAACACTCACATGGTGAAATGGGACAATTGATGCCAAATCAATAAAACCAATATCAGTGAATCAGCATTCTTTGATCAATACTAATAAACATTTCCCATCTGGTGCATACTGTAGATACTTTAAAAATAGAGAGGCTACCTTTACAGATGGCTATGTCAGGATGTTAAAAGCATTTTAACGTAATGTTCTCAGGAGAACACTGACACTGCACTGCCTCTGATTATCTACATTTTTATTTATATGCAATATTGTTATACTGGGCTGTACACACTGATCGGCACTAATGTTTTACTTGGCATAATATATTATGAGTGGTATATAAAGATTATAATTACAAAAAAAGTTTAACTGTCTTGGCAGCTTCACCATAGTATGTTTTACTACGCAGCTAAAGGATTGACTTTTTTGTACAACCAGAACTGTAAAGAAACCTTTTTAGGGTTGTGGCTGTCTAAAATCTGTCTGGGGAATTACTTTTACTTTAGACTGATTTGCTTGGATGTCTTGGTAAACTGAGAAGAAACAAATAAAAACAAAGGCAGAAAATCCGCAACTACAGAAAGCTGTTGACCAAACCAGCTACAACCTTATTACAGTGAATTAGCATCACTCAATCATGTTTGGTAAATGTTTCACTTAATCTTAAATTAAATTCCTAAAACTTGTAAAGAAATGAGCCCCTAAGAGTCCATTACTGTGTATGACACTTACAGTAGACATCCACCCTGATGGACTTGATGGCAGGCGAGCCAAGGCCGTTCTCAGCCTTGCAGTAGTAGCGACCTCCCTGGGTCCTCAGAATCTTTGCAATGTGCAATGTTTCGTTGAACACACTGGAGTCCTGGAAGCGGTCAAACACACTGCCTGCTGTCTTAGTCCATCGGATCTGGAAAGAACAAAGCACGGAACAGATCAATTACTTTCAATTAATTATTCAATGTCTGATTTCACTTACTGATCATCTGTTCTAGTGTGGAGGCAATGGAGTGAAGCATCAAACAGCTACATTTGGAAAGTAGATATAAGGGGTCTAAGGGTTCTGAAACCAAAGCCGCTGTAATAGTATAACACATGTAAATCACAAAATTATTATTCTATTTCAAGTTAGAGCAAGTCGTAAATTTTGTAAATAGCAGGGTCTGAACAGAACAGTGGATTTGGTGAACTGTTACGCCCCAGCAGATACAATATACTAGATAGACAAATAAATCAAGGTGATATTTTTAAAAGAAAGTTTCTAAATAATATTCACAAACATGACTATTAGAAACAGCAGCAGATTTCTAATAAGTATTTATTAAAAATGTTGAAGGAAGATAGAATAATCTTTCAAGGTAAATTCAGCATAATGTACATTTCTCCAACAGTAATTCCAGCAGTTCCATAACTTCTCTTTTCAACAAAAATACTGTTTTCATTCACAATTATTTCCATTTACTTTGACTTAGCAATATCTTCCTGTAGCTATTATAAAGCCTTTTGATGTGAAATGTCTTTGCAAGAAGTGTCGCCTTTATTGATAGTATTTTATTGGCAACTGAAAAATGACAATCTGGAGCGACTAGTAATAAATAATGACTCAAAACAGTGTTTATGTTAGAGAAAAGAAACCTTTGCCAACATATTATATCCAGAAAACAAGTGCATATGAAGTGCTGAGTTTACTTTAACTGCATTTTAAAGAAGTAATTCAGCATTGCTGGAAATATACTTATTTGCCTTGATGCTGAGTTCACTGAAAATATCAGTGCCACTATTCACAGTGAATGTGAAGCTGTTAACTTGGTATAATGACTGGAAATAGTGGGTTTGTCCTAAACTTTATTTCATGTTTGCTTAATCCTTAAAATTAGTTGTTTGCAAGGGATTATGTCATCATAAGGTCATCAGGCAACCATCTCAGACTGCAGATGTCACTGCGCCAAAGTAGTATGCCACATAAACTTCCACCACAATGAGTGTTTTTTAAAGTTTGACTTGTCTGAAGATTAAACACACAAGATTGGTGTTAATTAGTGATGTTTAAAAGTGTTGAAAAGTGCACGTTGTTACACTTGGACAGCATCAGTCTTGCTGTTTCCACCATTTGCAGTCATGCCTAGATATACTAATTGTTTTTTGTAGCTATATAAGTAGTGAACAGATAAGAGCGTTATTTATGTTTTCAAGTGCAAGATCCCAACCTCCCAATAAAAATAATAAATCACTTTTATTGGCTCAACACCTTACTAAGACACTTTATGTTGGTTTTTCCTTCCATTTGGCGCCCATCTGTAGGGTATAAAACACATTATTAGGTAAAGACCTGTGTGATATAAGTCTGTTTCAAATAATGTCTCATGTTGTTGGCAAGATTCTGTATTTAATGCAATGCACAGGCGACTGTTAAGAACACCCTGTTCTATAATAAAGTGTACTGTTAATTGCTGTAAAATGTCACAGTACAAAGGAGGACCTGATAGCTAAAAATCTTCCTCTAACTTCCCTCTTACTCCTGCTACACACCAGACTGACCTGCACGGGGACTTCTTGGCATGAGTACCTTTCACTAACTGATGAGACCCAGTTAGCCCATGGCATTGAGGTGTAATTAAAGGTGAAATAGCATTACTCTCCAACATGAAGTTGTAATTGACTCTCCATCATCTCCCTCTCTTCTCCTCATTAAAGCATACAGCATGACCAGGTTCTGTGACAACGATGACCTGAGGGGCCACACAGCCAGAACCATGGAGCAGAAAGCTCCATTCAATCCCTCATTCTACAGTAAGTAAGTCACAGATGGACTGGCTTTGCTTGCAAAGCCTCACATATATCTGTCTAGGCAGGGGAGGCTATGAATTAGGATCTAATATGTCCACATTGTATGATGATAGCATCATCTTGGATACTGATAACATCCCATTTTACAGAGATAGTATCAGATGGAACAGGGATATCACTGCATGCAGGAATGGGTACTGAGTGCTATCTTGGGAGATTGTTGCTGTGCTGCTCTAGCTGTGGGGTTTTAACTATGACGACTCAAAACCGAGGTTACAACAGTTTGAATCTGGTCATTTTCCAGACAGACAGCAGAGAGGAAATGAAAGGCGTGGGTGGCCCAAAACCTGATAATGGAGCCTTATTCCAGAGGCTTTTTGTGAAGCTCAGGGCTAAAGGATGACAAGGAGAGGAATTCACATGCAGTGAAAGTTGAAGTTTATCAGAGGAGTTTCAGATTGTCTGTCTTCCCTGGGGTGTTACTGTTCAGAGTGGCAGAAATAAATTAGCTTACCCTGAGATTCAAAGGCTGTGAGCGTGCTGTATTCTTCTCTTTCATCAACATCTTTCTCTGAAAAGGGAAGTCTGTAGCCAGACAGTGCAGCTGTCCCTTCTCTTTATACAAATGGATATATTACCATTAAAAATAAATGCTTTCAAAATGAATACACAGAAAAGGCTTCACTTGGCCTGTTTCAAATGCATCAAGATTTACTGAGAGAAAGTGCTCAGTGAAAAAACCCAGACTCAGCACATGAATGATGCTAAAGCACCACTGTCAGAAAATCTGGGGCCCTATATAACAGTTAGGGGCATCATGGGTTCAGCAAAGCAAGTCCTAAAATTAAATAAGTTATGAGCATAAATTAGACTGAGCCAAGTTTTGAATTCTGTGCCACTCTCTTACACTGCTCTTGCAAATAATAGGCAAACTGACTTCTGGTGACCTCAGCAGAATTCAATATTCTAGGGATGCACAGTATCAATAGGCGCATTGTTATAATGACACTAAGAAATGGGCATTCAAATAGCTCTTGGTCTTTTCAAAAGGAAGGTGCTCCTGTTTGTTTCAGCGGAGCAGCAGACCATATTACTGGTGAGCTTTCAACTCCTCTGACTTCTTTACATCTGAGAACCTTTACCCACAGGGGAGCCCTAGTGTATGCCTGGTGAGAACAGTCTGACCCTCTTCACTCTCCTTAGTGTAAGGTGCCTCCAAGTGTACACTGGGGAATAAGTCAAACAAAACCAAGATGTACCACCCAGCTGCTCTTTTATGGCAGAATTTCATTATTACTGTCTGTGCCTTGCAATTGCATGCATATATAATTACCATGAAATGTAAATGTCATCAGGTTCATGTTTCACCTCACATATTGTAAAAAAAAAAAGAGTTAAGCATTTACATTTTGCATATTCAAAACATCAGAAACCAGACAGCACTTGGTTCCACCGGGAAAAGCTAAGTCAACATACAATAACACCATTCTTTCATAAATCTGACATCCCAATAAAAAGATCAACATTTGCTTACAAGGAAAGTAGAAGCTCATCTAGATCAGTACTCGAATGGAAATCGCAGCAGTGTTTGAGACCACACATGCTGTGATGTCATGGCAAGAGCTAATTAAAATGCGCACAGTGTCTGTTGTTATGCAGGGATCATATGCTGGAGCAC